CGTACGTAGTCAACGCATATCCATATAAGCCTTTAAGATATATATATTGTCGTATTGGTATTGCACAGGTTTCATCGAGACAGTCAAATAAATGTGTTGACATAAACTGTTTTCCTGTTTCTTTGGAACAGTTTTATTAATAAATATTTCGGTGATAAAAGTCCATAAAAGTATATATATATATATGATCAGTGACATTTAAACTCGATCGACCTCATTTCTTTCAAATCATTGATTTTTTTTTTAGAGTGGTAGAAAAGTCCATGATTAAATGGATACGATCTCATAAATCTAATTTAACTACAGAAACTTATAAGAAATATTTTCAATTTTGAAATCCCTCATTAAATAGTAAAAACAGTTTGTTGGGGAAACAAATGATAGACGTTCAAAACATTAAAAGAAATTGTATTCAAACTTTAGTATAATAATATATAAGTTTTTAGTCTTACGCTTAATCATTGAGAAAGTTAGTAAGGTGTGTGTTCCACTGTTAGGAAAAATCATAAAAAAAAAAAATAATACATACTGGAGTAGCTAACGTTGGAGTAGCTAACGTTTTAAGATCACTTTAATTAAATTGTGAAAACCTTTTGGTTTTCTGGTAATTAACAACAACATTGTATATCTTATATTCTTATATATGGTTTATGTCATTATGATTTTTTCGAACTAATTAAAGATTAAAACATATTAAATTAATAGGTTTTTATATGCTGTTTTGGATTCAAATTCGAAATCTGGTATGCCAAACTCTACCTCATTCGCTCCCTCCAAAACATTTCTTTACAACTATCAAATACTAACACCGTACTCTCAACAAAGTTTTATCCTAGCAAATATATGAAAATGATAACAAAATTTGAGAACAGATTGGGTTAAAGAAAATTTTGACAAAAAAAAATATCAGAACTTTCAAAAGAACTTACAAATCTAATAGAGACAGGATAATTAATGAACATGGATCATGAGTCCGCCCATGATCACATGCTCTACTTTGTAAGTGTAAGTTGATTAAAATTGTCTCGTTCGTTTATTTCTTAAGATATTTATTATTGAAGAGACTATTTAGGGTCATAGACAACTACGCACATATTATTTCAAGCAAAATGACGCCCTATAGTTTTGGTAACCCAATCTTTTGGAAGAAAGTTCAAACCATTTTTTTTATTAACAACCAAAAATTAAAATAATAAAAAGATATTTCATAAAATTATTTTTCATCTTCAACCAACACAAGTTTACACCTATAGGAGTTTTATTTTCCAGCAGAACATATTGATATATTTGTTAATCGAAATATTTATGTGATTTAATCATAAACAAATATTAAACTAATATAGTGCTGTGGGTTATTTTTGTAATAAGTATCTTCCACAATTTAGTTGATTTAATTAGTCAATTGTATATATATATGTACTTATAAGATTTTAAATCATGGGGAACTTAGTAGACATTTTTTAGATGGGAATTTTCAATTTTTAGATATTTGATTTTATAATTGAACAAAAAAAGATATTTGACTTTATTGTTTATAAAATGAGAGTTGACTGTGGATTATAATAACACGATTGCAATATTAGTAGAAACCATTATTTAAATATACAAATATTCAATTTTATCTTTTTAGATGATACATTAAATTAATTTTCTTATTGTGTTCTGTAATATCAACTAAAATTTGTGAAGCTCAAGCACCAAATCATTTATATTAATTTTTATTTTCACGTGAAATAACTCTCTTTTATTGTTGGATGGGTAAACTATGAAGTTATTATTAAGGGTTGTGCAAAATGTACGAGCAGTTAGAGAAAGTAAGTAAGAAGAACCCAAGGAAAATTAAATAATGTCTTGATATGAAGATTTGATACCCATAACATGTCATGCTCATAACTCGCTGTCTACCAAACTTTATATGAAATCGAATCATATAAAAGACAAAACATTTGTTTCGACTAATCTATATATATTTTTATGAATTACACCGTCTATAAATGACAACATAATCGAATGGGGCTTGTCTCCTATTGATTTATTATATTATTTTTGCCGCGTTATTATATATTTTGAGTTTAAATTTTGAATAATATGTGTTTGTGATATAGGCAAAACAAAATAATACAACATAATAAAAATAGAGAAATTAACACTGATGACCATAAATTTTTTTGAAATTCAGCAAATAACCATAACAATTGAGGTGCTATAGTATTCATTGTATTTTTACAATATATACGAAATTACCCTTTTTAATTTTAATGATATTTTTTTTGTTTTTTCTCTTCTTCTGTGATCTTCTCTCCTTCCCCTGCTGTTCCTTCCCTTTCTTTCCCGGTTTTTTTTTCCTTCCTCTCTTTTCTGTCCCATCTCTTCTCTTTTCTCTTCCTCCCTTTTCCCTCCCCTTTCCATCCCTTCATTTTTGTAAATAGTATAAATAGTATAGTATAACAATAAAAACTAATATGTAATTACTATACTATATTAATTTTGTGGAAAACAAAACATATATTATAGTATAGTCCAGAAAAATATAGATAACATGTGTTTTCATAATATTCTCACGCGAGAAGAAAGAGATTTTAGTAATTTTTATGTGGATCATGATTAGTTTGCATATTATTTGAACAGCATAATTATATTTTTTGATTGTTTTTCAAATATGGTTATATAACAAAAAAACCCATAAAAATATGTACACAATATTTTAGAACACGTCTCTATCTAAAATAGTAGTAAAAGGTAAACCAAAATGCCTCGTGAAACTCGTGGTATGTAATCATTTGTTATTTGTGCTATAATGTTTGTGTAATAACTCTTTGGAATTTATGGAGATCATTAGTAAGAATAAAGAGTCCTAACTACCATAGCTTTTGGGAAAAAGAATAAAATATATTTTTGGTTTATTAAGACCGGTTCTTATATCATTGATAACACTTTCAAAACCATAAGTTTATGGTATTTGTAGAATTTTAATAGTTTCGATGGCTACTTTGAAAAATATAATAAATTATGTTTAGACAATTTTTATTGTTTTCTAAAATAACTTTACAGAAACATCACAAGTTTTTTTGTTAAAACATCACAAGTTTTTTTTGTTAAAACATCACAATTTTTTTGAACAAAAATTTAGTTTAGGTTTCTCAGTATGAGAGCGACCAAACAAAACAAAAACAAAAAAGAGAGATCATGAATGTATTTTATTAACGAAGCAGTTCTATATCTTAGACCCATAATATCCTTTGATTCAAACAAATACTTATTGACTCAAAATTTTGCTTTAAAAAATGGTTGATTTCTGTTTTTAAAAATGCATATTTTAAGTGGGTATTTTAAAAACAGAAATCAACCATTTTTTTTTACTGAAAATCAAAATAAGAAAAACGTTTAGATATATATAGGGAAGGTGGACGTTCCAAATTTTCGTACATAAATATGTTCTTCATATTTTTTATTTATAAAATTTAATTATTTTGCAATAATTCATGTTTTTATTTTATTTTATGACGTTCATGTATTTTATTATACAATATTTTTTGTTTCCATAAATTTTTTTGTACATGCAACTTAATTAAACGACAAAATAGAAGTGTCCCTTGAGGATCATAAAAATAGATACTGATGTTAACTTGAAAACAACACTGATTCAGTCTGATACCATAAGGCGAAACTGCAAAAGAACAGTGAGTTGGGATCATCCCCACGTGGCACGTAGATTCACCGCATGCCATGCATTTAGCGGACGTGGAATTTTTGGACCTCATTCCATTATTCTAATGGACCAAATCCTTTTTAATATATATATATATATATATATATATATATATATATATCCAATACTTACTGTAGACCTAAAAATTGGAAACTTCCTAACTATATCAGAATTTTTTCTAATCTCATAAAGTTTTACTCATACAGTAGAACCCTAGGTTGCATGGAAACTCCGTCCGAGGTATGTTTCCCATTTTCGAAACGTTTTGAAAACCGAAACTCTCGGAAACTCGTCGAAAACACGAAAAATCACGTTTGCTGGAAACATTTTGGAAACGTGTTTCTGTTTTAGAAACACGCGTTTCCATTTTGGAAAAAAGATAAAAACTAATTTTTTTATTTTTATAAAACAAATAAATAATTATAAAAATTAAATTAAATAATCAATTTACTTATTTATAGTAAATAATAAATATTTTAATTTGGTAATTAAGATTAATTTTGAGATTACTAAGTTTGAAAATTATTCTCTGGATGAATTAAAATTAGAGATAGATTGGTTAATGAAATTAATAAAATTGATAATAAAGAAAATCTTCTAAATTTTTGACTTTGCATATTTTAAATTTTATAGTTTAATAATTATGTAAAAATTATATATTAGATTTTTTTGATTAAATATTCTACTTATAATTAGATCTTTAATACTTAATATATATATATATACGTTTCCAAAACGTTTCTATTTCTATATTTTTTTAAAATAGTGTTTCCATGTTTCGAAACGTTCCGCTTCCACGTACCCGTTTCCGTTTCAGTGCAACATAGGTAGAACCTCTATAAATTAATACTTGATAAATTAATAATCACTATAAATTAATAATTTTTACCGGTCCTAAGTCGAGCCAGTGTAAAAATTAGCAAATTTCGATAAGATAATATTTTTTTTTAAATTCCTATGTAAAAATATAGTCCTAATAAGATAAATTAATAATTATACATTTAAAAATATATGAATAATATAATATAGTAAAATATAATTATATTATTGTTTCAAGTTATAAAAATTGTTTGACTTATTTTTCAAATTCACTGATATGATATTTTCTCAATAAATTTTATATTATTAAAAATATTTTTTTTTGTTTTTTGACAAATATTTTAAATTTGAACTGAAATATCTCTCTATAAATTAATAAATTAATAATTATTAATTTATTGATTAATTAATAACTCTATAAATTAATAAATTTTTGAAATCTCAACATTATTAATTTATAAAGATTTTACTGTATATATAAATATATAATATTATAGGTTACCATTCAGTGTAAAAGAAGTCTTTTTTTTGACGTAAGTGTAAAAGAAGTCTTTTAAGTTTTAACCGATGAGTTATGCCGAAAGAAAAAAGAAGAAAATCTGTAGAGTTCAGCAACAATAAATTAACACTATATGGGCCTGAACCCACACTTCATGGGCCTGTCTGTATCCACGAAATAAAAGCCCATATGCGTGAGCTTAATCAATGTTAACATTAGTTTGGCGAGGCAAAAGTCTCTTGCAAGAAGTTGTAGAGCTCTTGAGCAACAAGAGAAGGATATTCTTCTTGAGGCAGTAGTGCACCTTCAACCTCCACAAACTTGCTGACTCCTTTGGCTCCTCTCAGTGCCTCCATTTCAGCTTTCGATCTCTTTGGAGCTCCTTTCGTCGACATAACCATAACCGGTATTTTCCCTTCCAAATCAGCAAACAGCTGGAGAAACTCATCCCGGGATGAAACCGGGTCGAGCAAACCAGTCAAGAAAGCTGCAGGGACGTAGCGTGATCCCTTCCGGTTTGTTAACTCGTATCTGCTTTGGATTATGGCCTCGGTCACGTTGGTTTGGTCTGCATAAACATGGGATTTGTATTGAGACTCGATTGATTTCTCGTTGCTCACTAGCATGTTGTACATCATCCAACCAACCCCAGGTGCTCTTAGTGTTCCTCTTAGCAGACCGTACCTGTTGGGATAAGAAAAACCTAGGCAATCAAGAGAGGAAAGGCATATTTTTGTTTCGTTTTTAATGAAAAGATGTAAACGGACCTTGTCTCCATGGAAGAATCACGGCCAAAGACAATAGGGAGAGGTCCAGCCCATGTAGGTGCAACAGCAGCAATGGCTGATGGTTTTAGTAGCCCACGACACGCAGCGCGGATTGCTAATGTTGCTGCATGCCCTCCTCCAATGATCACTAGATCATTATTGCCTGTTTCGGTTCAACATGGACTCTGTCAAGATTTTGCCGTTCTCTATTGTTAACTGGGAAGCTAATAAGGCGGATCAATGGAAAGTAACAACGAGCAAGCAGCGCTCTAACCATTGAAGAAACATGTTTTCAGAATGAGCTAAGCTTCAGGACTCTAACCATTGTAAGAGCTCATCATCTATAACCAAATAGTTCTTTATATTCCAATATCAATGATCATTATAACCTTGCAAATTGAGATAATAGTAACTATGAAACTTGTAAACATACTATTGCCAACAGAAACAGAAAAAAGAAGCAGTTCATATATCGGTTCACACTAACCTGACTGGCTCATTGGGCTCTCGGGCGAGTTCATGAAGTCAACCACAAACTTCTCCATGACATCTGTATTGTAATCCATCTTCGGTCTATCAGAATAACCAAGACCAGGCCAATCTACAATAGTTGTTCGCCAGTTGACGTCGCCATCTCGCTGCACGATGTCTTTAGCCACAGATCTCCATTCCTCTACGGTGCTAACATCAGATATCGTTGGTATCATGAGGATATTCTTAGCTGATTCACACTTCTCTCTCTCATGCTGTTCATAGTATATACCGATCGAGTTTCCCTTGAACTTCCACTGCCAATTGCTTTTCTGAAACAGAACAGAATCAATACATCAAAGCCCAGAAACTAAATATTATCACATAACGAGCTTAACATTCTATATTACTGGTTCCAAAATTAAGAAACTTTCATCCATTTCAAAAGAAAAGACTCTTAAGGAGTATGAAGCAAACACAAAAAAAAAGGTCACTCAACAAATCATAGTTCGAATATACAAGTTTGTCTAATCCCTAATCCAAGTCAAAGGATCAAATCATATTGAACAATAAGAGCGAGACGATCCGACAATAGGGAATATTAGCAAACTCACCTTAGTTTGGACTGGAGATTTGTCATCGATGGAGATGGAAGGTTTGTCGACGGAAAATGCAGAAGCTCTCACCGAAACGGGTTTAAAATTTTTAGGACTAAGCAAGAGATATGGTCTGCGAATTTTGCAAGAAGAAGGTACGAAATGTGGTGATGATAAGGAGAATGGAGCTGAAGCAGCCATGGAAGCGAAATAATGCAAAAATTTGGGGGTTTTCGAAGATCTGTGGTAGCGAGAAAGAAGGAAATGACGATTCAAAGGTAGAGACTTTTTCGAACCAGAACCACCAAACCAAACGTGCTGATTTTTCTCGTCAAAGGTTGGAAAAATCTATCGAAAATTTTCAATAGCAGTCCTAAAATATTTTGTATATTTGCGTTCTAGCCCCAGGGGAATGAAAATCTTCACAATAACCCCCAACTCCATGGCAATGCAAACCACAAACCTCAGAAATGAAGACCTCAAGTTTTCTGATCAGAACTTTTACCAGTAGTCACGGCATGAGCAAGAACCGTCCTTGAATGAATGGAAGCGATTTCTGTCTCTGACCACAATTTCTACTCCATAAACGCTCGACGCCAGCTTCATAACAGCGTGACAATCTCTGCAAATTCTCAGATTCTTTACTATCCTAATATTTGCTCCTTTGGGCAATCTAGCTAGAGCATATGCAAGTGCAAGCTTCTCACTGTGTTTACTCACTTGATCCTCCTTCTCTTCTTCTTCTATATCATAGAAAGCATTTGCAACTTCGGGGGTATACCCAGCTTCATCTTTAAGCCTCAAGATCACTTCTTTTAGCTTCTCGTGTGCCTCTATATCGATTCCTTTCTTTTTCTCCCCTGCAGTGAACTTATACATGGCCTTGCCAACTTCCACCAAGCTCCAACCAGTCATCTTCTTGATCTTATGGACAATCATTGACTTTCTGATAGAAGCAACATCCTTCCACTTACCCGAAGTAGCATAAACATTCGACAAGAGAACAAGATCTCCCGGGTTATTCGGGTCAAGCTCATTAAGCCTTTCTTTTACTTGCTCCGCCAATTCGGTATCCCCATGACTACTGCAGGCCCCGAGAAGAGTCCGCCACACAATGGCAGTTGGTGGAATCGGCATTTGGCATATGAAATCGTAAGCCTTTTGGAGTTTTCCAGAACGGCCATATAAATCAACCATGCAACCATAGTGTTCAATCACTGGTTCTATGTGGTAAACTCCTTTCATCTTTGAGAAGTAATCCTCACCTTCTTTGATCAGTCCAGCGTGACTGCAAGCATACAAAAGCGAAATGAAAGATATACCATCTGGCGTAACACCAGACTCAGTCATTTCATTGAAGAGTGTAATAGCTTCTTCCCCGTGACCATACATTGCTAAACCCGATATCATTGATGTCCAAGATACAATACTCTTCTTCTCTGGCATACCTTCAAAGACTAACCTAGCCATGGGGACATTACCGCACCTAGAATACATATCAATAAGCGCATTGTTCACCGAGACTATCCAACCAGTTCCTGCTTTCTCTACGAACGCGTGTAATGTCTTCCCAAACTCAAATGCCCCAGACTGTGAACAGGCAGAGAGAACTCCGGTCAGGCTTACCTCGTTTGGTCTCATCTCCGCTCGTAGCAACTCCCTGAAATACGAGAAAGCCTCGTTGAAACTCCCGTTATGAGCAAACCCAACAATCATAGTGCTCCAAGAGACATCATCCCTGAGAGGCATTTCCGAGAACACCCGTTTAGCACTCTCGAGCTCCCCTGTTTTAGTGTACCCAGCAAGCATCACGTTCCACGACATGTGGTTCCTCTCCGACATCTTATCGAAGATTTCTCTCGCTCCGGAAACGTCGTTTCCCCTGAAACAAGCCGTGACCACAGCGTTCCACGCGACCACATTCGGCTGACGCATTTCGTCGAACACCTTGCGAGCAAGCTCCACACGCTCGCATTCCCCGTACAGGCCGATCAAGGTAGTGGCAACGAACAGATGCGAATCGAGCCCATGCTTCAAAGCTTGACAATGCACCTGAAATCCGGTTCTCAGAGACCGGAAATTCGCCGCCGCCTTGACAACGAACGCGAAGGAGAAGCTATCCGGAAAGACGAGACCTTTCCTCGTCATCTCCACAAACGCCGCGACGGAACTGTGCGGCTCGTCGGATTCGGAGTAGCCTCGGACGAGAGTGTTGAACATGAAGGCATCAGGGTAAGGAAAACAGAGCAAGAGACGTCGAGCGTAAGGTAGAGCGCCGGGAATTGAGATGGCGCATTGTAGGATTAGTTTTCCGGTGAAGTAAGGATCCGTATCGACGCCGGATTTGACAAAGGAGGCATGGATTTGGGTAAGGGCCCTTAAGTTCTTGCAGCTAGTGAGGAGAGTGTGGCAATGGTGGAGTGAAGTAGACATCGTCAAAACAAAACAGTGGAACGTAAAGTGATTAACTTAAACACAAATTTATATCAGAATCCACATAATGTATATATGAACGAATTAATTTATTGGTTTTTCAGAAATTTCGTTACTATCAAATAGTTATAGGATTTAAAAAAGTGCTAAACTGTTTGTATATACTGAAAATAAAGATAATCAACTGCGGAAGAAGAGGAATCGACAAAAGGGACACCGATGACTAAATTTCATCCACTCGAGTATACAAGCTTCATGAAAATAATGGTCACAAGGCAATTCAGCGACTAGTTCTCCTTGTCTGAACTCCTCCATGCAAATCACGCATCCATTGTTCTCACCCTCCAACGACGCCGGACCGGAGCGGTACTCCTCTGTTCTCAAACAGTCGGTTCTGTAAATCTTGGTTATGATCTTCCATATCTTGATGTTAATCTCTCCTTCGCCTCTCGATAACGACGGTGACGATTCGATAGCCATGTCGATCTCGCGCAAGATAGTGACGGAGCCGTATGTGGTGAGGCCGAACCGGCGCAAGACTAGCAAGATAACTTCGGCGCAGTCTAGCGAGTATTTGTAAGTAGGGTGGTTGCTTGGTCTGGAGATAGCGGTGGCTCCGTTGTGGCCACGAGATATTTCGAAGGCGACATTGCTGTCGGCTTTGTGTAATGGGATAAAGCCGGAGTGACGAACGATGCTTTTGTCGGGAAGAGACGGTGATGAGGTTGTTTCGCCGTTGGGGGAACGAAGTTTTCTACGGCGGACTTCGGTGCACGTTAGCTCGGCGAAAGGCAGAGAGGTACTCGAGTTCCGGCGAGTAGAGATAGTGTACTCGAAATCAGTGTATTCCGACATGGCTGTTCTCTTTGTTGGATGTAGAATGATACTATTATACGGAAAGGATAATCACTTCAAATTTTGTTTTTTAAGGAGGATATTATTATAGTGACAATCCAATGTTGTTTTCCTTTTCCTGCTCGGAATTGGTAGTTTAGTAAGAAAAAAAGGAAAAAATTAAGGAGATTATTTCATAGAGAAAAGGATATGGGGACCAATCAAATACGTTTTTTTTTATGAAAATATTTAAGTTTCGAGTTATTTAAATTTAATTTAATTAAACCCTCATAGCGGGCCGCAGTTTTTGAGCCATATAGTTGGACAGGTCAGTCCATTAAGACAAAAGAATAAAGAAGTGTCAAGAATGGGATTTTGAACCCATGCCCTTTCGGACCAGTACCTGAAACTGGCGCCTTAGACCAGCTCGGCCACCTTGACTTTATGTTAACACAAAATTCCACTAAAATAGATATCCAAAAGTATGTATTTATCCGAATTTTTGAATTTTTTAACTCGGTCATTCTTTTGCTTTCTCTTTTACAGCTTTAGCTCAATGAACTGATGATGAATTGTCTAGCGAACGAGAGTTTGAACACCTTAAAGATCTCGCCTTCTTCTTCTGCATGCAGACTACTATCTTCCGTCACCAGTTTCCGAAACCTATCTTTCCTTACCACTAAAGACTGTAGCTCTTTGGCTCCTTTTAACCCTTTTCACTTCTTCAATGATAAATCAAATTCAAGGCTTTGTACGCTCAGAACAACCAGAATTCTTCAAGCGCATTTGCTTAGACGATATCTGTTACCATTTGATGCTTTCCTTACTAAATCATTGCTCAGCTGGTATTCGATATCGGGTTCCATGGCTGACGCGGCTAAGCTGTTCGACACAATTCCTCAACCAGATGTTGTTTCCTGTAACATCATGATCTCTGGCTACAAAAAGGATCAAATTTTTAAAGAATCATGTAGATTTTTCTCTAAGATGCATTTCTTGGGTTTTGAGGCCAATGAAATAAGTTATGTTTCTGTGCTTTCGGCTTGTAGTGCTCTTCAGGTTCCTCTGTTCAGTGAGCTGCTCTGTTGTCAAACAATAAAGATGGGTTATTTTCTGTCTGAAGTTGTTCAATCGGCTTTGATAGACTCATTCTCAAAAAGTCTCAGATTTCGGGATGCTTATAAGGTGTTCCGTGACACTTCATCTGCTAATGCGTATTGTTGGAACACTATCATAGCGGGAGCACTCAGAAATCAAGATTATGGTGCTGTCTTTGAGCTTTTCTATGAAATGTGTGGTGGGTCTCAGAAACCTGATAGCTATACATATTCCAGTGTTTTGGCTGCGTGTGCTTCGCTTGAGAAGCTTAGGATTGGAAAAGCGGTTCAAGCTCGGGTGATCAAATGCGGAGCGGAAGATGCGTTTGTTTGTACTGCAATTGTTGATGTGTATGCCAAATGTGGACATATGGCTGAAGCTAGGGAAGTATTCTCCCGTATCCCCAACCCTAGTGTTGTCTCTTGGACAGTAATGCTGTCTGGTTGCACAAAGAGTAACGATGCTTTCGCTGCTCTTGAAATATTCAATGAAATGAGACGTTCAGGTGTTGAAATCAACAGCTGTACTGTAACAAGTGTGATTGCTGCTTGTGGTAGACCTTCGATGATCTATGAAGCAGGCCAGGTCCATGCTTGGGTCTTAAAGAGTGGTTTCTATCTCGAGTCTTCAGTGGCTGCCTCATTGATTAGTATGTACTCGAAGAGTGGCGATATTCATCTCTCTGAACAGGTTTTTGAGGATCTGGACGATGTTCAGAGGCCAAATGTCGTAAATGTAATGGTATCTTCATTCTCGCAAAATAAGAAGCCTGGCAAAGCAATAAGACTCTATATTAGAATGCTTCAGGAGGGTTTGAGACCCGATGAGTTTAGTGTATGCAGTTTGTTAAGTGTATTAGATAGTTTGAGTTTAGGTAAGCAGATTCACAGTTACACCCTCAAAACTGGATTGGTCCTTGATCTCACCGTTGGAAGTTCTCTTTTCACAATGTACTCCAAATGTGGTAGTTTGGAAGAATCTTTTAGTTTGTTCCGGGAGATACCTGTTAAAGACAATGCTTGCTGGGCTTCCATGATTTCTGGTTACAATGAGTACGGTTATCTAAAAGAAGCTATTGGGCTATTCGGCGAGATGTTGGCTGATGGGACTAGTCCTGATGAGAGTACTCTAGCTGCTGTTCTAACTGTGTGTGCTTCCCTTCCTTCTCTGCCTAGAAGTAAAGAAATACATGGGTACGCGTTAAGAGCTGGAATTGACAAAGGGATGCCTCTTGGTTCTGCGCTAGTAAACACGTATTCAAAGTGTGGCTCACTAAAGTTGGCTAGACAGGTCTATGATAGGCTCCCTGAATTGGATCCAGTGTCATGTTCATCTTTAATTTCAGGATATTCACAACATGGGTTAATACAGGATGCCTTCCTCCTATTCCGTGATATGGTTATGTCTGGTTTGGCCATGGGATCCTTTGCAGTTTCATCTATTCTTAAAGCTGTACTTGCTCTCTCAGGCGAATCATCTCTGGGAGCTCAAGTTCATGCCTACGTCACAAAAATTGGATTGTGCACAGAGCCTTCTGTAGGGAGTTCACTACTGACAATGTATTCGAAATTTGGAAGCATTGAGGACTGCTGTAAAGCATTTAGCCAGATCAAAGGCCCGGATTTAATCGCATGGACTGCGCTGATTGCAAGTTATGCTCAACATGGGAAGGCCACTGAAGCGTTACAAGTGTACAATCTTATGAAGGAAAAAGGAGTCAAGCCTGATAAAGTGACTTTTGTAGGAGTCTTGTCCGCTTGTAGTCATGGTGGTTTGGTCGAAGAAGCGTATTTCCATCTAAACTCGATGGTGAAAGACTACGGTTTCGAACCTGAGAACCGCCATTATGCTTGCATGGTCGATGCTCTGGGGAGATCAGGGAGACTTAGAGAAGCTGAGAGTTTTATCAACAACATGCCTATTAAAGCAGACGCCTTGGTCTGGGGAACATTGCTTGCTGCTTGCAGAATTTATGAGGATGTTGAACTCGGGAAGGTAGCTGCAATAAAGGCTATAGAGCTAGAGCCATCAGACGCAGGAGCGTATGTTTCACTCTCGAACATCCTTGCAGAGGTTGGTGAGTGGGAAGAAGTGGAGGAAACTCGAAAGCTGATGAAAGGAACAGGTGTACAGAAGGAACCAGGGTGGAGTTCTGTCTGACCTTTAAGCCTTGGTGATGCAATGATAAGCTGCAAGGTTCATTTTTCTCATGTGTTTAGGGGAAATCCAGAATGTTCAGACATGGATGCAGAAGTCCTTCCTCAAGTTCTGACAAATCAATGATCAGAGGCTATTGGACAGTTCTTAGAACAATTCTTCTTTCCGTTATTGTTCCCTTTCTTTTTAGTAAATATTCTCTTTTAGATCATTCCAAAGAAATTCACTGTGATTATGATTAGCTTGTGTTATTGTAATTTTGATTTGATGAGATCTGTAACATCTCGTTGAGTTTTGTTTTGTTTTTTTCTTTCTGATTGAATTATTCATAGAATTGGAAATTAAATTTCAACGATTTCCTTTTCCTCAATGGAAAGCAACTGATTTGATGTTTTTCCTTTTTTTTTTTTTTTTTGTTGTTGTTCAATTTAGATGCTCGTGTATATAAATATGTGAAGCCTCCATCGTCTCTTGCTCAGAATTAGAGACCATACAATGTCGAAAAGACATGGCTCGAGTGTGGAATCGCTACCACACACAACGTTGAAAAGACATCGGTCGAGTGTGGTGGAATCGCTACCACATGATGTCGTAGAGCTCATCCTCGAGAAGCTTCCGGTGAAATTTCTTCTGAGATTCAGGGCTGTATCCAAGATGTGGAAATCGACAGTGGATTCGAAATGTTTCCAAGAAAGACAGTTGATCCGCCGTAGGCAATCACGAGATCGAGACGTCCTTGTCGTGACCGTTAAATGTTCTGAAGGTTCTCAAACGGGGAGGATTATGTTGGGGTCTTCAGTAGTTTGTACTGTGAGGTTCCCTACTTCGTGCCTCAGTGTTTGCCATGGTAGCTGTGACGGTTTGGTATGTCTCTACTGTATCCACACACCAAGTGTCGTGATCAACCCCGCCACTCGATGGAGTCAGAGCTTTCCTCTTTCCAACATACAACAGGTCATATCCAACAGCATTAAAACGCAAGAATATGGCATCAAAAAGCAAAAGCTTGGGTTCGGTAAAGACAAATTCACGGGCACGCTCAAGCCTGTTTGTTTATATAACTCATCCGAACTCGGCCTAGACAACGTTACTACTTGCGAAGTTTACGATTTTCGCACCAATGCTTGGAGGTACGTTCTCCCTGCCTCTCCTTGTCGGATTCTTGCGTTCCAGGACCCCGTGTATCTTGATGGATCGCTTTATTGGCTCACCGACTGTGAAGAAACCAAGGTGTTGTCTTTGGATCTTCACACGGAGACTTTTGAAGTTATCTGTGAAGCTCCCTTTGCCCATGTACGTGAAGATGACCCTCGCAGCGTCAGCCTGTGCGTCCTCGAGGACCGCTTGTGCGTAACCGAGAAAATCTGGCCAACCCAAGTCATATGGTCGGTGGGCTCTTCAGGAGGCGACAAGACATGGAAGAAAATTTGTACGATAGACCTCACCATAACTTTTCCTTGGTTCGGGGAATACCAATGGGGGAGAAGACCTATATCAGCGCTCTTGCCAGTAGCAATTCTGGAGAAGAACAAGTTATTGCTTCATGGTCGTGATTATTTGCAACCACTGGTGATGCACGATCTCCATACCAAATCTTATGATTTAGTCTTGAAGCCTAACACAACCGGAGTTTGTGTTTCTTATTTCCAGAGTTTATTCTCTGCAACCACAAACTAGTTATCCTCTCTTTTCCTTTGTATCATCGATGAACAACTGTAACTCAATATTATTTTCTGCACTTTTAATTTAAGGATGATACATTTTTCTCCTCAGGGCATCTTATTAATCTCTCTGACATTTTTCCCCGACCGACCCTAGTTGGATCCGGCAACGACGTTAAGCTGTTTGTTCATATTTTTAAAATGTTTTCACTTTCTTCCCTCAATTTTCAGGAATTTACGGTTTAGATATTCTCTTTTAGACCATTCCAGAGAAAATAGTTGGTACGAAAGTCGTTTTTATGAATTTCATTTTCTTGGGCGGCAATACAGTCAAAGATAATTCAATATTAAACTTTTGGCTCTGTTCGGCTGTTCCTTGCATCAATCTTAAAGATAAGGTTTGTGAAATATAAAATTCCCTAATTCCATACTCATTAGTTTGAATGTCAGTCATATATCTATTGGAAAATTCAAACTTCAAAGTCAAAACTTTGAACAAAAGATAAAATAACGCCACAATACGCTTGATGAACAAGACAACAAAATCCAAAGTATTCTCTCTCGTCTTAAAACTCTATAAAGAGTTTGAACAATGAAGCACAAATGAGAAACAGATAGTTATAAAAAAAAAAACAGAGTTTTGAAAGAATGGAGGAAAGAAAGAGTAAAGTGACATTACATGGGATGTGGGCAAGCACATACTCGAAGAGGGTCGAAATCGCCCTTAAACTCAAGGGTGTACTCTACGAGTACGTCGAAGAAGATCTCAAGAACAAGACCGAATCGCTAATTCAACTCAACCCGGTTCACAGGAAGGTTCCTCTTCTTGTCCATGATGGTAAACCAGTGGCTGAATCCCAAGTGATTCTTGAATATATCGATGAAACATGGGAGAACTCTCCTCGTCTCTTCCCGGAGGATCCTTATGAAAGGGCACAGGTCCGGTTCTGGGTCAGCTACATCAACCAACAGGTGTTTTCTCGGATCTCTCATAAAAAAATCCTATAAGTTGATATGGTTATTGTAAGAATGACATGTTTCTTGTTGCAGGTGTTTGAGGTCATGGGTCGAGTTCTGTTCCAAGAGGGTGAAGCTCAAGCAAAGTCTGTAGAAGAGGCTCGCGAGAGATTCAAAGTTCTTGAAGAGGGACTCAAGAAGCATTTCCCGAACAAAAGAATCAGAGGGAATGATGATGTAGGGCTTTTGGAGATCATCATCATCGCTACTTTTGGATCCCACAAAGCTTCTCATGAAACAATCGGTGTAGAGATCATTGATCCAGTGAACACTCCAACTTTATACAACTGGATAGAGCGTCTGCAAGAGCTGACTGTGATGAAAGAAGTCGAACTGCCTCGTGATAGGTTGGTGACATTTCTCCAGAAATATAGACAAGAGCATCTCCAGCACGCTGCGAATGCGTAACGAGACTGAAATGTTGGTCTAGTGAGTTACTCTCCCAGAGTATAATACATCTAAAGTTAACAAAATAATCTTGTGGGACAGTTACTTATGAACTTATGGCAGCTACTTGTGTATGATTATGAAACTAAATAAAGCATTTGTGGTATCTTAGGCTTTCTGTTTTCTATAGCCACTTGATACACTTTGTTCTCATACTTTTGCCAGAAATAACATGGGAATTGCGATGATAACATTTCTAATCAAGATTTTGACTCGTTCATTGTAAGATCTACTTTACAGAGATTGTAACTAACTAATTAACTAACAAAAAGTGTATTAGTACTCAGAAATACCTACAGCTTCATATATCTCGAGCAGCTTCTTCAAAGTGGTGAGGTGTTCCTAGACTAGAGCTTCTTTCACACCTGTGCCAACAAATGCTGATTGATTTGGAGGTAAGCCACTGCATCAGATTCATATGGCTACAACTGTGAAACCCTTTTTCTTGCGTAGCCTTTTATCTCTAAGGCCATCCAAAAGAAGTTCGTACGCATAATATGTAATACAGCTCTTCTTCAACAGATCCTCCAAAACAATCTTCGGAGCAGCCACCTCCTTTTTGTCAACATCAAAAATGGTGTTCACAGACTCAGGTACGAGTCCTTTCTGGACCATCCGATGGATAATACCGGCAGCTTCATAAACTTTATCCTCCACACACAGACAGTTTATGACACGTCCAAGTGTTTTGATCGGTGGAATAAACCCATTTTCCATCATCGTCAGTAGAAACTTGTACCCCAAATCGACATTTCCCGTTTTGCAAAAACCATCAATCATAACCTGGTATGTGTATCCATCAGGAACAAGACGACGATCGACCATCTCTTGGAAAAGCTTTTCTGCCATTGTAACATTTAACTTCTCAGTGAAACCATGAATGATGATATTATATGTATCCGTTGTACTTGAAACCTTGTAAATCTCTTCCATCTTCCGGAACAGCGTGTATGCTCCATCCAAGTCTCCGTTTTTGCAGAACCCGTCGATCAACGTTCCAAATGTAACAGCATCTGGATTCACACTCTTGCTTTTCATTTCCTCCAGCAACCCCAAGGCTTCATCTAGCTTTCGGTATTTGCATAGACTCTCGAGAAGTATATTGAACGTGTATAAGTTAGGAGCACAGCCTTTCTCCACCATCGTTTGATATGTTTCCATCACATCTTCATACTTTGACGTTTTGCAGAGACCATCCAACAGAGAGTTGTAAGTGTACACGTCAGGATCAACACCGTTGTCCAACATAACATCTAAGATCTCAAGTGCGTTTTCCATTTTCAGCTGCGTAGAATAACCAAGGATCAAAATGTTGAAAGTAATAATGTCAGGAGAGTAGCCTTTGGAGATCATGACTTTAACGAGACCAACAGCATCGGAAACACATCCCATCTTGCACAATCCATTGACCAGTATGTTGAAAGTCTCTACCTCGGGAATCAAACCCTTTTCAGACATTTCACTAGCTAACTGAGCAGCCTCCAGGATCAAACCCTGCTTAGACAATCCGTTGATCAGTGTGTTGTAAAGAATCACGTTAGGCTTTACTCCTTTCCCTAAGGCCTCATTAAATAACGCTAAAGCACGGTTTGTTTCACCTTCGTGACACAATCCCTCGATCAAGGAGCGATACGTAAACTCGTCAGGCACAAACCCATTGAAAACAGCATTACCTAGAATCTTTTCCGCAAGCTGCACCATTCCACTTTTGCAGTATCCATCTATTAGCGTGTTATAGGTAAAACTATCAGGCTCAAGCCCTTCATTCACCATTTTCCCCAAGTAAACCTCCGCTTCCTGAAACCTGGAACTCTTACACAAGCCAGATATTATATTGTTATACGTGACGACATCAGGTTTTGGTCCCTGCTCTATGAGACAACCCACCATACGGACAGCACCACCAAGCTCACCTTTCTGACAAAGCCCCTGGATGAAAATATTATAAGTAAAGAGATTCGGTGAAACCCCTCTTTTGATAGCTTTCTCCAGTAGCTTTTCACACTCCTTGACATCTCCTTTCTTGCAAAGAACATGTAGAAGCTTGTTAAACGCTCTAAGACAAAGAGAAACACCAGATCCAAGCATCTTCCCAAACAACTCATACGCCTCTTCCTTGAAATTCTCTTTGTAAAACCCACCAACCACCGTACAGTAAGCAACCACATTCATCTCACAGCCCTGAGAAGACATATTGTTGAGGAGCCTCAAAGCAGCGTGAGGCCGACTCGTCCTGCAAAACGACTTCATCCTAATAGTAAACGAGTACACATCAGGAGTGATTCCCCTGTCACGCATCCTCATATACACCTTGTGAGCTTGATCAAAGTATCCACTATCGACCAATATACTCATAATCGCGTTGTAAGAGAAGACCGTGGGCTCACAGTCATAAAAATCCATCCTTTCAAACACATTCACAGCTTCTTGAACTTTCCCTTTCCTGCCATAGTTCTTCATAGCCCCAACATAAACCCCTTCGAGCATATGGTTGCCAACACTCCGCCGCATATCCGCCAAAACCTGCTCCATAGCCTCGAATTTACCATGAAGGCCGAGCTTTTCGACCACACTCCGGTAAGTAGACAGAGTGTGCTTGAAACCATCCTCTTTTTTCATCGAATTGAACATTTGTAAGGCTTTCATAGGATCCTTCTGACATTTTATAACTGCTGTTACATGTCTCGGAAGCAGGGAAGGACCCATTAGGAGAATCGCAACCTAACGAAGACTCTTCGTTTCGGATTTCCTCCCAAAGAAGAGAGCAGAAGTTTGTGATTTGATATGTTGAACAGATTAAAAAATCTGAGGAGAAAGAAAAATGTTGAACAGAATTAAGAATCGAAAATCCAGATTGCCTATGATTCTTTATCAATCCGAACGAAGAAAATCCAGAAAACAACGGAAGAAATCAATTACAACAGATGCAGTCGATGGATTCTAAAAGGAGTGGGCTATAACTATCTCTATAATTTTATAACATAAGTGAACAGAAAGTTGATATGGCCGAGTTGGTCTAAGGCGCCAGATTAAGGTTCTGGTCCGAAAGGGCGTGGGTTCAAATCCCACTGTCAACATTCATTTTTTTCTTTTTTATATTTCCCAAATAGTTCCCTTTTTGAGCAAAAGTTTGTTAGTAGGTGAATGTTCTCAAATTGTTTTAGAGGAAGCAATGGCTTCATGAACACGTTGTCGCTAAAATTTCAAAATGATGGTTTGCGTTTTGGCAATGTTCCATGGCATGAACTTTACTTTTATTTTCCATATATATATTAGCTACATTTTATTTTATGAAAGCAGTTTTCAGCCATGTGCTACATCTTCTTTTTCCCTAATGAGACTCATCATGGTCTATATATGAGTTTCATTATCTATCATATATTTTCTGATTATTTATCCATTCTTTTTTTCAACCCGAATTTAAAGATAAAACTCTTGTGGCAGCTCTCGGAGAAGCTAGAGCCTGCACTGGAGTCCTCATGCTACAGAGTAATCCAGGATTCTCGCTCATGTCAATATTCTCTCCAGGAATAGGGGAACTCCATGAGAAGCATTGTAACATGTTTCCCATCACCAATGTCATCAAGTTCATGCTGAGCTGTGCAGCTGGACACACCCTCCTTCCCGATCCAAACGGAAGAACCCTAAAGTCTCGGCCTTTGACATCGGCATCCTCAAGGAGAAACCTCTCCGGTCTAAACTCTTCCGGGTTTTTCCAGTTCGCTGGATCCCTCCCTATCTCCTTCACGTGGACATAAACCGTGGCTCCTTTAGGAACCTTATACCCACCTAACCAAACCGTTTCGCTGGCTTTGTGTGGAAGCATTATTGGTGTTGATGGATGAAGCCTGAGAGCTTCTTTCACCACGCATTGCAGATACGGCAGGTTTGGTATATCTGATTCGGTCATCAGCCGCTCTGGTCCAACCACTGAGTCAAGCTCCTGTTGTGCCTTTGCTTGCACGGCAGGGCATCTGATCATCTCTGCCATAGCCCATTCGATGACAACAGCGGTTGTGTCAGCGCCTGCGGTTAACATGTTCCAGATTAGTCCATGTACCGTCTCTTCGGTCAGCTCTTTCTTCTCTTTCAACACTAACAGCTTCCGAACAAAACCCTTATGATCCTCTACCGCTACATCTTCTTCCTCCATTATAGCTCCTCTAAACCACTTTGTTCTCCGATCCCTGTGCGCCAAGAACTCCTTGTCGCTGATGAACCATGACGAGACCCATTTGAGCCACCAGACGTGAACAAACAACGTCCCTGAACCGCTGAGAAGATGTTCTTTCTCGACAATCGCTTTGAACTCTTTGCCTTCCTCAGACTCGAACTCTTTACCGATCATTAGTTTTGAGATTGTGTTCAGAACAACCGCACCTAGATACTTCCTCACGACCAACGGTTTTCGCGTCTGATCATCGCTTGAGTCGATCATCAAGTCCTTGAGAATCGACTCGACCATCGATCTCACTTCCATCTCTCTCAACGATCTGAAATTCTCTATGCTCTTCAGAGAGAAAAGCTCGAGTGTACAGAGTTTCCTCAGCTTCACATAATGTGGAGTGTAATCAGACCAAACAAGATCGGTACCCGTCTGAGTCATCCTTGCGATCCTATGCCGGTTAGACAACTGATGGTCTTTGTCTCTCAACACTTGTCTAGCTAAGTCAGTGCTCGAGACGATGATAGTTAGCTGTGAGCCTATCCACACCGAGATGATGGGACCATAAGTCTGTGACCACTCCGAGAAAGAATGAGTCCAATGTGGTTTCAGTTGATGAAGATTTCCGAGCAGAAACCGTGGCTTTGGTCCTGGAGGTATGTTGAATCTCCACCACCGTTGATAGAGCATGATGGTGGCGATGATGATGGTCACTACAGAAATTAGATATATAACCATTTTTGCTTTCGATTGGTTAAAGAAAAATAAACAAGTTTGATGGATTATAACATCTACCTTACACTCAAGATTTATACACAACTTTTTTCTATATATTTTTCAGAAGTTATATTATTCGGATATTTACTTTGGTTAGGATACTTGCTTACGTTTGTTTAGATAGCAACACACAAATTTGATATGCGCATGAACATGCCGTGATTTGGTCCCATTATACTCTCTCACTGTCTCACACTTTTAGCATTTTCTGTTTGCTTTATAGTAAAAAAGCTTGGTTTTCATATTGAGGCAGTAGTAAAATACTTTGTCACAAAACTAATTCGTTTTAATTACATAACAGGAATTTTTATCTAGAAAAACATATTTCAAAATTGTTATGGACTGAAAAATAAAAATTAAGAAAATAAAAATGTGAAATTGAGTGGCAAAATTAGATGGAGAAGAACCAAGAAAAAAACAAATCACGCCGAGCACAGACTACTTGACCATAGATGTGTCAATGGCAAGAATGATATGGATCTAGAAAATTCAATAAAATTGAAGAAATGAAATTTGTAATGATTTTAAACCGAAGGTGCACAGGAGTTGAACCATAAAGAGATCAACTGCGGAATAACTACAGTTATCGTAAAGCATTTGTTAATATTAACAATGTTATTCTATTTAAGCGCCAGATTGAAAAATGGATTTGAAATCTTCATGAAAAGATATCGTAGACATCACACACACATTCGCTAAACTTATGATTATATCAGTTTTTTTATTAATCTTTTTAATGCTAAAATATTGATTATTTTATTTTTATTTACATATTCAAGCAAAATTCAATTATTTGAAAGTTGCTGTGAAAAATGCGAGATCGACTGTAATCAAGCCTAATGTTCTTGCTCCAGCTACTTTCTAATTCAAGAAGGCTTATGAACAACAAAAAACAATTTGCCTGTAGAACTAGTTATTCATTTTTTTAAGAGAAACTTTCTAAATTTAATGTACATCATTAATATCATGACAAATTACAATTTTAATTTTATTATTTGCTTCTAAAAAAGTTATTCAGTCCTCTGTTTTTATTGACAAATCTGATTCTTCAAAGTACTCATAATATATATAAAATATTAGATTAATAAATTTTAAAACTTATTAAAATTTGAATTTTAAAATAATAAAAAACTGTTAAAAAAACCAAGAAACCCTATAAGATTCGCAATCAATTAAATTTATATCAATCAATCAGACTATTTTCTTCCTTGTTGTTTTTATATTCGTCATTATCTTTAATGTGAAATGCCGTATCGAATTGAAAGATGGAGAAGTCATGGAGGCAGGTGGTAGTTGTGGCAAGTGAGGAAAAGGTTCCTTTGTCATTCCTAAGCAATGAGGTGAGATCAAGCTGCTATTGGTGATAATGGCCGGCCAAATCCACTGCCGGTTCGCAACGTACATATACCAGCACTACAAATCTACTCTATAGTAATCGCTCTCAAAAAATTCAAATACATGCATTTATTGATATGTAGACGGTTTGATTTACGGGAGACCAAAGACAAAAGATAAATGCTGCATTTCGTCTTAAAGAGAACATACAACATGCTCTCAACACTAACGGGACCAAGGGAGATAAGATACTGTTTCGCACACACATATCTTTGCACCAAATAGTTTTCCCCTAAACAGAAAACAAATCACGTCGAGCACAGTCTGCTTGATGATAGATGTGTCAACGGCGACAGTGATATGAATTTAGAATTCAATAGAATTGAGAAAATAAAATTTGTAATAATTCTAAATCGAAGATGCACATGAGTTGAACCACAAAAAGATTAACTGTGGAATAACTACAGATATCATAAAGCATGTGTTAATATTAATAATGATGTTATTTTATTTAAACGCTGGATTTGAAATCCTCATGAAAAGATATCATAGACATCATATAGCTTTAGTAAACTTACAATTATTTCAGTTTTCTATATTGATTTTTTTAACGCTAAAATATTTATTATTTTATTTTTATTTACAACTTCAAACAAAGTTTATTCAGTAAAACCTGTGAAGAAATAGAATTTTGAAATAATAAAAAATTGTTAAAAAAAAAACCCGAATCACTCTTAAACAAATCACGCCGAGCACAGTTTGCTGACGACGATAGGTGTGGGAGGTGTGGCAATGGCGACACTGATATTGATTTTGAATTGAGGAAATGAACAAAAGTAGAAATGGCTACAGTGACGACTTCTGCGATTAGGTCTCCAAATTGGAGAGTTGCTGTGTTATTATGGACAATCTCTCTCACTATTTTCTACTATCTCTTCCAGATGGGTCTTCGAAATTCGCCTTCTTCTTCTTCAGGTAAAAATCATCGTTAATTAGTTCTTAAATGTCGTCTATTTATCACCGAACTTTTCCTTCCCTTTGTCTCGAAAGTAATATTACCTTTGATATTCTCAGGTTTGGATGATGTTTTGAGTTTTTGATTTCTTATCCCGATCTGATTAATCAGCTAACTATTTCTAGAATCATATGAGTTGACTCGTGTTTTCTTTTGTTTTATAATGAATCTGGGTTTCGTAAATGGAAGATCGATGTTGACTTGCTAACAGAAGAACTCACCAGCACGAGTGTAGTAATTAGATTTGCGTAAAGAACTAGTTTTTATTTATATGTTTTCGAAGAAATGTCTCTGTCTCTGTATTTCATTGGATCTGAAGCCTAACTTGATGTTTAGGGATCAAATGGGTACGCAAATCAGCATTCTTCATTTGTTTATCCTAAGCTTTAGTATCACTAAAAATGTAGAACATGCCAGAGTGAATATCTGATGCAAAGGCCAATGCTTGATTTCGGGATCTATGTGTTTTGTTATTCATCTCTTCTGAATTCTAGTTGTTAATCATCTCTTTTGAAATTTTCTTTCTGTAGCTGTAACAAGATTGTATCTGGAGTAGATATGGTAATCATTCATAGCAGTTATATAAGCCTGTGGCATGTTTCAGATCCTTTCGTCACTTACGCGGAGCAAAGCACAAGATTGTATGATAAAATGGAACGGGATCTACTGGAAAATGGACCAGTGTTCCTCAGACAAGGTGAAACGTCTCAGTCATTGTCGCTTTCAGATCTCTTCACACTGAATGATGGAAATGTATCACCTGTCCTCAAGGTAACTGTTATTGTTATAGTTAGTTTGTGGATTGTATTGTGAAAGTGAATAACTTATATTTTGTGATAGCTAAATACCATATATGATTCTATAAACTTACTCAGTTTATTCATATATAGGTTGCAAATCCCCCAGTGCGAGCTAATGTATTACATCTCAGCACAGAGTACTCTGTCCCAGTCTCGTGAGTGTGTAACTTGCCCCATTCTCAATGCAGATTTTTATCATTTATAATTTAAATTCAAATGTTTACTGCTAAAAAGTGGTGCTTCTCATGTTACATTGCAGGAGCGCTGTAAAAAATGTGTTCAGTTCTTATTTTGAAAATAGTAAGTGCGCCATTATATTTCTTTTGAACGATGCTTGAACACGTTTGTCAAAACCAATGCTTGAACACTGTTAAAATGTTTAAAAGTCTCAGATATATGATTTCAATATGCATGTGTGTGAGTGGAAACATAAATGCGGTTAATTGTATTTTCTTCTTCTTACTATGGTTTGTTTTGTAGCAATCTGGTTTCAGGACTCGAAGCTGTACCACTTCAGCATGTTTCATGCATCGCATCACATTGTCTCTGTTCCAGCAACAGAAGATGAGGTCTTTTTTACTAGTCGTTACTCTTCTTGTCAATCCACCGAAACTTTAACCTTGTGAAGATCATGGTCTCTGAGATTCTTTCTGATGTGATCAGGTTGAAGCAGAAGCAGCTTCTGTCAAAGCAGTTGCTAATGAGCTTTGTCCTTTGGAGATCGTATTGGATAGAGTTCTATTAACTTCGACTGGTGTTCTTCTTGGATGCTGGAAGGTAAATTTTGTTCTTTTTTTTGTACTTTTTCTCAACAAATGCGAATCAGATCTCTCTAGTTTTGTATTTGATTATACAACTTTTGGGAATTTCATTCTCCATGACCAAAATCTTTTCTTCTTTTTTTTCCCTGAAACAACTGCTTTAATAATGGCTGAATCAGATATCTGAGACTTAGCTTTGTTTCATCTTTTTCACCAGGTTAAATCTGGAGATGATCCCATAACTATCCGGTCAAAACTGAGATCTGTGCTTCCACGAGCACCAGAGAAGCAACTTGTAACATCTATTTCATGAACTGCATATATCTATCATGAACACGAAACCACTGTCTTTATTTGTCTGATGCTTGCTTTTTTGTTTGTATCTCAGTATGATGCTGCAATTCTTCATACATCATTAGCAAGGCTTCTTGGTCCTCCAATATCTCAAACTGAGGCAAGTTTTTACTTATGCTTCTGTGTTCTCTGTTTCATCCATCATTATCAAGACTTAGTGACAGTTTCTTTATCTAGCAGGCTGGTTCTGATGACCATCTCAAGCTTCTTCATGAGTTAGTCGCAAAACTAAACAACCAAATCCGAGGATTCAAGGTAATTAAAACTTGCAACGAAACTGGAGTTTGCTTGACCATGATTCATTGATCCATGTACACAAGAATTGAGAAATGTTTTCTATATTGATATACAGGCAGTAGTATCAGAGCTGTGGTATGTAGAAGAGTATGATCTTTTGGCGCTCGCGTTGGGTGGAAGAATGAAGATTCGGTCGTTCCCATTCGGCTGCTTCGCAAAGACCTAATAGGTTTTTACTTTTTTGAGCAATTTAAGACCAAAACCCTATGTCATCATGGTTCATGTATGTACACTCCTCAACTCATTACTGTACTTTCATATCGGAATGAGTCAACAAAAATATTTAAAAGTCAAGTCAAAAGTTCCTCCAACTTGTTACATATATGAAAAACGGTACTTATTCGATGTAAATTGTATTGTCTGTGGATAATTTACTTGATACAAAATTATTTTTTCCCATTTTTTTGCCAAATTTCCAAATACAGAATCTTGGTATAGTTAATTTCCTTTTTCATTTTAGCAACAATTTTCCCAAAAGCTTTGATTTATTATTTAATGGAAGGAAATTAAATGGTAGCTTTTTCACGCTTTTTTCCCACTATTTAAAAGTTAAAAACTTTCAACAGATTCTACCACACAATTATTCGCTCTCTCTCTCTCTCTCTCTCTCTCTCTCTCTCTCTCTCTCGCTATCTCTATCTCCATCTCCAGTGAGTAGTGTTTTTTTTTTTTAGTGGAGGAAGAATCAGATTCAGAGCCAAATCAAGCTTTGAAGATGGGATCTGGAGCTGGAAATTTCATCAAGGTTCTATTGAGGAACTTCGATGTTCTTGCTGGGTAATTTGTTAAATTTCTACAATTCAAACCTAATCTCTCTAAAATTTCCTTCCTTTTGCCGAGTAGCTTCTGATTATACTCTGCTTAATTCATCACTGTCTTAGGGTCTTGTTACTATTTTAAACATAAACCTAGTTTCAATTACGACTAAAGTTGATTGATTTTGGAATTTATAGCTTTAAACAGTGACATTAATCGCAAATCTCTTGTGGTGAATTTTCGCAGGCCTGTTGTGAGTCTCGTGTATCCACTGTAAGTGAATCCATTTTTTTTTTCTGTTGAGCAAAAAGCTTTTGATCTAATAATGGTTTCTTCTTCTTCAATGACACAGACATGCCTCAGTTAGAGCAATTGAAACTCAGTCTCACGCTGATGACAAACAATGGCTCACGTATTGGGTCCTTTATTCTTTACTCACACTCTTCGAGCTCACATTCGCCAAACTCATCGAGTGGTAAGTAAAGATGATTGATTCCAAACATCATTAGCTAAAAAACAGAATAAAGTTTTGTTTTTTTTAGCTGACAATGTTTTGTTCTTTCTTTGTGATCAGGTTACCGATATGGTCATACGCGAAGCTGATATTGACTTGCTGGCTTGTGATCCCTTACTTCAGCGGCGCTGCTTATGTCTATGAGCATTTTGTGAGACCTGTGTTTGTTAACCCACAGAGCATTAACATTTGGTATGTGCCAAGGAAGCTTGATATCTTCAGAAAGCCAGACGATGTGTTAACCGCTGCTGAGAAGTACATTGCAGAGAATGGTCCTGACGCTTTCGAGAAGATCTTAAGCCGTGTATGATGCTCCTGATCTGTTCTCTCGTTTCCAAAAAATGTGATTTGTTCTTTACTTATGTTTCTTTCTCTTATGGTGGTGCAGGCTGATAAATCAAGAAGATATAAACAGCATGAGACGATGTATGCTGAGGAGTATCATCAGTACTAAGGGAACTTTGAAATGCTTTTTTCAATTTTAGAATGTGTGAAGCAAGTTCATCATGTTTGTTTTGCTTCTCTTTATGGATCTCTCTGCCTTGTAAAAAAAAAGACACATCAAGATACTGCTTTATGCTGTAATCTCTTTATATAATGAAGAATGAATATCTAAGCAATTTTAAGAAGCCAATAAAGCGCACTTTTCTTTTTCAAAATCTTACATCATTAGAGAGAAACACCTTTACAATCTGTTTATTACAGGGAAAGATATAAAGAGATTTTATTTCTGTAATCTATATAATCTGCCTTCAGGGATAAAAAGAAGTGCTAATAATGGAACCAAATTACAATGTTGAGAGATAAGACAACAACAACATGAAGGTGTTTGTTCTTAAATCTTCTTCAAATTTATTGAAACTGCTTCAGTTTCCAGATTTTATGCCTGAACAACAAATGACAATGAAGAGAAAAGAGAGAGAGACTCTCTTGACCCTAATCATGAAAATGAAAAACCAATCTGTTAAAAAGATAAAAAAACCCTAATAAAGAAGTCAATAATAACTTTGAAATGCCTCTCTCCCAAGTCTTTGATCAACATCCCATAACCGCACAATTATACACAAAGCTCCCTGATGGCTTTGAAGCAAGGACTCTCCAATGCAGAGACTCACCGTCCCTTGGGACACAAGCATTGATCTCAATGAACCCTCCTCCAAGTGCCCTAGGACCTCCAACCACCACTAACTGATCCCCACAAGCCCTAAACGCCATTCCCCAACCGTTCATCGAAGAAGCCCTCTCCGGCAAATTCCCTACTTTATTCCATACATTACGCCTCTTGTCGTACTTCCTCACCTCTTGCTGCGCGTAATACGCAGCATAGAGCTCGTCTTTCACTACAGCTACAAGCGGCGGAGCCTCTGAAGCCGCCGTTGCAGCGGAAGCCTCCCTTGCCTGATCTCCTCCACCTCCGTTGCTTCGTTCTGGTAACATGTTAGGTATCAATGTCCATGTCCTCTTCTTGAGATCATAGACTTCACCGCACATTAGCATCTTCGAGTTCCCTTCTCCGATACCTCCAATCACATAGAAACACCCGTCCATGAACACGCTCGAGCACATCTTCCTCGCCTTGTTCATGCTCGGGATCACACTCCATTCCCCGGTCTCCGAGTTATATAGCTCCGCCGAGCTCAAGATCTGTCCACGAGGGTCGCATCCTCCAGCTATAACCGCGATCTCGCCTAGGCTCGCTGATCCAAACAAGCACCTAGGGATGTTCATTTGCATACCCGACGTCCACGTATTGGTCAAGATGCTGTACTTGTAGATTACATGAGACATAATCTCTTTACCGAAGACAAGAAGCTCGGTGCCAACGGCGAGAGATTCTTTATCAGAACACATGAAACACTCGTTGAATGTCATTTTCGGCACACGTAGCCATCGGTCTCCGTTTGGATCATAAGCTTCCCATTCGAGAAGCCTGCAGGAGAAGTAGATCCAATGCTCCACGATACCCTTTGCACGTCTCAGCCTATACAGCTCGCTGTTCTTGATGAGCGAGCGGAAGGTTTTGTTCGTGGAGGCGATGGACCCGAAATCGGATAACGAGCAGTGAGCCAAGCAGTTGAGAAGAGCGTTCTGGTCAAGCCGAGCTATCGGTGAGCTCTGTTGATCACCGCCTTGCTGGTTTTGGTTAGACCTTTGATAGGTTTCGGCAAGCAGAAGAATGTCTGTGACCTTGTCGGATTCATCTCTGCGTTGGTGATGATCAACGCGTGACATTTTTCTAGCGGAGCTTCCTTCTTCGTCGGTATCATCCAAGGAACGCTTCTTCAGCGAGAGCTGAAGCACGCAGTGAGCGTTGTATATCCACTTGCTCTCTTCCTCACATGAAGATGGTAAGTCCCTTGACACCAGATAACTCGGAGCCTCCAACATTATGAGAGAGCTAAGAAAACAATCAAAGAAAAGCGCCAATCCATCAATCTAACCATCCAAGAAACAATAGGCTTTTTGCAAAAACATATCACTGATAACAAAAAAAAAAAAGTACAACACTTCTTGACCAGTGAGATTAGCTCTGACATCATTTTTGAGGATAATTTGTAACTCATAGACTTTCCTCTAATAATGTTTCTTAACTCAGCAAAGCAATCATTGGAACTCACAAAACAAGATTTTCGTTGGTTGAAATACGATCATATCAAAAGCAGTTCACCACCAGAAAAGGAAAAACAAAGCAAAAACAGAACATGCAAGAGAAACCAATGGATCGACAGATCAATTCAGCATCTAATAAAACCGCAGAATAATTCATCGGATCCCAAATTCGATAAAGCAACTACGAAAATCTAAAAAGGACTGAGATTTACAAAAGGGTAATTCACAAAATAAAGCTCACCGGTTATCGGAGAAGAAGCCCCCCGATTCGTCGACAAAATTAGTCAATCAAAGTCGATTGAAGATCTGCAATACAAGGAAAAAAAATAAATAGAAATCCAGACAAAACCCACTTTAGATACCGATGAATTCAACAATCAGGCACATACAATCACAAAATTTTCCGACAGAATTAAAAAAGAAGAAAGAATCAACCAAACTCAACAGAGTTTTTTTTTATTTTGCTCAACCTATGGGCTATGGATGATATTCATCTTCGAATTCCGGCCACATTATAGCTGAATTGGTATCATATTTGAGCTGTGATTTGCATTTTTTTAATTTATTTTGTTTTAATTTGGGTTTTAAAAAGATGCACGAATGAACCAGTGGTGGATTTGTGCATATAAAATTAAGAATAAAGCTGATGAATTTATATTCTTTATTGGTTTTTTTATACCGATGACGAGGAGAGATGAAAGGGTAGTTTCGGTATTTTTTGTTAAAAGTATTGACGACGCCGTTAACCATTATGGCAAAAGGAAGTTAACGGCCGATTCTTAGCTAGTGCACGTGTTTCTGCTTCGGAGTTCGGACAACCAAAGCTTTTGTATTTTGCTTCTCACGTTAATGTTCTTTTTTTTGTTTTGGATTTTATCCTAATCCAATCTGTTCAGTTTTGTTTCTTCTTCTTTCTTTTCTCTTTCACTTTTTTTTCTTTCTTTCTTTTCTCTTCTGTTCTTATAAAAAAAAAATGATCGAAACATCAGAAATTCACAAAAAAAGTATCGGAGAACCAAATCAATTTTATAGTAATCAATATAAACAGAAGGAAAATAAATAAATCAATCAAAGTTCTATTCCAAAAAAAAAATCTGAAATAATCATTCAAAAACACAATTCTAGAAATCTCATAAATCAGATACTCTAATTGGAAAAAAAAAATTAAATTAAACAAAAACGACAAATAAAATATTAGGAGAGCCAATAATATTTTTTAGCCAAAAATATTAAAAATAAAAAGAAAAATATAAAACAAAATAAAAGATTTGCTGCCGTTATTTTCA